AATGGGCCTAAGGCTTCAATCCCCCCCCCCCCCCCCCCCCCCCATTTAGTTCTTCCTATTTGCTATTATTATTTATTAATGCAAACGACTATATTTTGCTTTAGTTAATTCCTATTTTTTAAAGAAAATTTGGTCTTTCACTAAGTATTTATCTGTTGATTTTAGTATTGCTTGTGTATTCTTTATTAATATTAATGAGTACCAAATTTTGAATATAATATAAATATTAATAAAAATATATTTTAATACTATTTTAATTAAAATAAATAAATAAAATTTAAAAATGATGAATATTATTAATTATTGTTAGAGTTTTTTTGAATTAATGGTTCTCTTGATCTTTTACGTCATGCTAAGCGGATTGCAGTTATAATTTTTTTTATTTTCTCTCATCTATATATCTTAAGCGAAGATGACTGGGTTGAAGCTATAATTTTTTTTGTATTTTCTCTCAATTAAATATTTGTAATAACTCATTGAGGCATTGAAATATAAATAAAATAAAATAATGGTATTAGATGATTTATACAAGTTTGAATTTTTAAGGTGCAAAATCCCTAATTTTCTCAAGGTTTTAGAGAATACGATTTCTTATTACTATCAAAAAAATTGAACTACTTAGGTATCTTTAATATTAGAATATATATACACTAAATATGCATATTTGATCAAGTTATTTATAAATATCGATAAATAGAAGAAACTGATCTATTTAAACACGTGATACTCACAACCTCCGAATCTTAGATCCGCCTCTGCAAATCATAAATAGCATAATGAAGCTACTATAAAAGGATCAAACGGTGGAAATGGGTTTCAAAAACGCAAACTAATCATGCGGGTTGTTGCACTTGGACTCAACTAAATTTGTTTTTCTTCTAGATAAGTTGCTAAATGATAAATTGGTTATTAAAACTAACTAGCATATTATATTAACATTAATTTACAATGATTTAAGTAATTTAATAAATTAAGAATATATATTAATTATCTGTAATTACGTCATAGTCATAGAAGTGCTGATACATTTCGGATTACGAGATTTAAACAAGTTTAGTTTTTAGCATAAATTTTTCAGATATCTTTTAAATATTTTGAATTATCAACTATTGTGACAAATAATATTTTTTTACGTAGTTTACAAATATATAAATTTCATTTTAAAAAATTTGAAGATTTCATAAGCAAATTCTCGATCAAACTTAAATTGTTTGACACTCAAAAAACGAAATGTATCACACAAATTAAGACAGGTGAGTATTGGCAACATATAAGTTACATTTTAAAGAAATATATATAGATGGAGGACATTGATGATGACAAATACATTTGAGGTTAAGTGTTTGTTTAGAGTTTAGTGTCTACATTTACGTAACTCACTCTGTGTAAAACAACCATTTTCTCCACTATCCACTACAAAACCGATAAAACAGCTTCTCCTATCTTTCATCACACTTGCATATCAAATAAATACTAAACGTCAATCACCTTTTTCTTGCAACAAATTTTTTATCCAATTCCTTACTGTTTTATAGTTTTACACATTAAAAAAACTTGGAAATCCAAATCTATCACTATCTACAGACTCTGCAAGGAACTTCCAAATTAAAAAAAAAAATTGTTATAAAAATTCAAAAATAAAAGAAAGAAAAGCAGGCCAGTCAAAGTAGAAATCTTTCACGGACCCTATTTTTACCCTTTTCTTCATATTTAAGAAAATAGTAATTGGAGATGAGATAGTGTTAAAGTTGGCAGATTCTTGTAATAGAAAAATCACGGGTTACTACATAACAAATTATTTTTATATAACTTTTCCACTTGTTTCCCTCTATAAATTTGCCTGTCTCTCCATTTCAATATATGACATAGGAATGGCGTTTTCGTGTAATAATCATTTCTCTATTATTCTCATTATTGGTTTCATATTAAGTTCAGAATTGAAACCAGTTTTAGCACAAAATTCTCCTGTTTTCGCTTGTGATATCACGAGTAATCCCGCGTTAGGGAATTTAACATTCTGTGATGCATCTTTGACGGTGGAAAACAGAGTGAATGATTTAGTGAAGAGATTGACATTGGGAGAAAAGATTGGATTTTTGGTAAGTGGTGCAAGTGGTGTGAGTAGACTTGGGATACCAAAGTATGAATGGTGGTCTGAGGCTTTACATGGTGTTGCATATACTGGTCCAGGAGTACATTTCTCTAGTCTTGTTCCTGGTGCAACTAGCTTCCCTCAAGTCATTCTCACTGCTGCTTCTTTCAATGTCTCATTGTTTCAAACCATTGGAAAGGTCATTTTTCAACAATTCATTCCATTCTTGGATAATCATGTCATATATATATATATATATATATGAGAACTGTCTATAGTATTAGTTACCTCAAAACAAGAGCAATATTTGTACTCCCTAGCCCTCCTCTTCAATTTGTTTGTTTGATTTTGACGTGATACGGAGTTTAAGAAAGTTGTGTAGTTAAAATGCACTTAAATTTGTTTTCTTAAATATTTCATGTGCAATGTTAGAATTAAAAAGTTGTCAAAAAAAGAAAAAAAGAGACACATTTCATAAAAATAAAGAGAGTATGTTTCTTTGGTTAGTACTCAATCTATTTCATATTAACTAAATTTTTGAGGACTATTGTTCAAAGTTCAATATGGATGCTTGAGTTTTTTTTCCATATTTACCCTTTATTTATTGAAGTTTTATATTTTCTAGGAGATAAATTACACTACTTACAAAGTTATACTCCCTCCGTTCCTATTTATTTGTCACCATCTTTTATTTCAGGTACATTAACAAATTAAGTAAGTTTACTATTCTACCCTTATTTAATTTTTTTTTGAAGTTAACTTTTCAATCAATGAATGAGGAGTAATATATTTTGATTAATTAATTTGACCGATGAACATAAATTATTCACTTAGTTTTTCTATATTGGTCAAATGTATATTTTTAAGGCTATAACTCACAATGGTAAAATATGAAGAATATTGTAATTTATGCATTGATTTTATGAAATAACCAGTATTATAGATCAACTATTTATAGTAAGATGACATTAAAAAGAAACGAAAGGAATATTTATGATTTCACAGAGGGCAATAGTGAATCTGATGTTTTTTCTTAATATGAAATTAGAGGGAGTAATGTTTTCCAAAGACATTACTTTCTATGTGCAACACAACAAAAGCACATATATGATGAAATTTCTATTTGTATATTTTTTTAAAATTCGATGGAATTTCTTTTATAAATTGCTGATTGAAAGTGAAGTTCAACCAATTCTTGACGTACGTTGCCGTCTCTGTACCATTATTTCAATACCATCCTTTAATTCCAGCTTTTCTATTTAAAAAGCATTGGTTGTATTTTTAGAAAATGACACAGCCGTTTGTCCAGTTTTATGGATTATATATACTTAGATGTCGTCTTCTAAACGTTAAGTTGCGTTATTAATTTTAAATATTGAATCTGTCTCTGGTTACAGGTGGTGTCCACCGAGGCTAGGGCAATGTACAACGTTGGTTTAGCAGGTTTGACATATTGGTCTCCGAATGTCAATATCTTTCGTGACCCGAGATGGGGAAGAGGCCAAGAAACACCAGGAGAAGATCCAACACTGACCAGCACGTATGGTGTAGCCTATGTCAAAGGGTTACAACAAACAGATGATGGCAGCACAAATAAGCTCAAGGTTGCTGCTTGTTGTAAGCATTATACTGCTTATGATGTTGATAATTGGAAAGGAATCGAAAGATACAGTTTCAATGCTGTGGTTAGTGTCAATTTTTACTTGTTTACACTAACATATGACATGTTAAATTACAGTGATCGCGTATAATTAATAAGATGGTTGCGCTTTTTGTGACTAATAGGTAACACAACAAGATTTAGATGATACATTTCAACCTCCATTCAAGAGTTGTGTACTTGAAGGAGATGTAGCCAGTGTGATGTGTTCGTATAACCAAGTGAATGGCAAGCCTACCTGTGGTGATCCGAATCTTCTAGCTGGGATTATAAGGGGAGAATGGAAATTAAATGGGTATAATTTGAAGCTTTCTTGATTTTTACTTTTCAAAGATGAATAAATGCACTTACATAAAGTATGCTTAAAACAGATACATAGTCACGGATTGCGATTCATTACAAGTGATTTTTAAATCCCAAAACTACACCAAAACACCAGAGGAGGCTGCTGCTTTGGGTCTGAATTCAGGTGATCAGTCATTTTCAACTCTTTATGTTTGGCTATTTCAAATCTTATAATCCGAACATTTTTTGTATGTAACAGGGGTGGACCTGAATTGTGGATCTTGGTTGAGTACATATACTCAAGGTGCTGTTAACCAAAAACTTGTGAATGAATCAGTTATTGATAGAGCTATCTCAAATAATTTTGCAACACTAATGAGACTTGGATTCTTTGATGGTAATCCAAAAAACCGTATTTATGGAAACCTTGGCCCTAAAGATGTTTGCACCCTAGAAAACCAAGAGCTTGCTCGTGAAGCTGCGAGACAAGGGATTGTCTTGCTGAAAAATACTGCAGGATCGCTACCTTTAACTCCCACTGTCATCAAATCATTAGCAGTCATTGGTCCTAATGCTAATGTGACAAAAACCATGATCGGCAATTATGAAGGTACATTTTGTATCATCATTTAGAACCGTTGTTAAAGCTTTATTTACAAAGAGTTTTGTCAATTATATCTGGATTTTGCAGGTATTCCATGCAAGTACACAACTCCGTTGCAAGGTCTAACAGCCTCAGTTGCCACAATTTACAAGCCAGGATGTGCTGATGTGTCTTGCAACACTGCCCAAATCGATGATGCTAAGCAAATAGCATCCACGGCTGATGCTGTAGTTTTAGTAATGGGATCTGATCAATCTATTGAGAAAGAAAGCCTGGACAGAACTAATATAACTCTTCCAGGACAGCAATCAGTTTTAGTAGCTGAGGTTGCTAAAGTTGCCAAGGGACCTGTAATCCTTGTTATCATGTCTGGAGGTGGAATGGACGTACAATTTGCTGTCGACAATCCTAAGATAACAAGCATTCTTTGGGTTGGTTTCCCCGGTGAAGCCGGTGGTGCTGCCTTAGCAGATGTCATCTTTGGATATTATAACCCAAGTCTGTCTCTTATTTCAACTTTTAAGATGTGTTTATCTTTCCATGCAAAAGTGCCTTAAATGTTTTCGTGTTATCTTGCAGGTGGAAGGCTCCCAATGACATGGTATCCACAATCATATGCAGACGTTGTTCCAATGACTAATATGAACATGAGGCCAAACCCTGCCACAAACTACCCTGGCAGGACTTATAGGTTCTATACCGGTCCAACTGTTTTCACATTTGGTCATGGATTAAGCTACTCTCAGTTCAAACACCATCTAGATAAAGCGCCACAATTTGTCTCCCTCCCTCTCGGAGAAAAACATACTTGTCGTTTGAGTAAGTGCAAGACTGTTGATGCGGTTGGGCAAAGCTGCAGCAATATGGGATTTGACATTCATCTAAGAGTTAAAAATGTTGGGAAGATAAGTGGAAGCCATACAATTTTCTTGTTCACTTCACCACCCTCAGTCCATAATGCACCTAAGAAACATTTGTTGGGGTTCGAGAAAGTTCATTTGACACCCCAAGGAGAAGGGGTTGTTAAGTTCAACGTCGATGTTTGCAAGCATTTGAGTGTACATGATGAGCTTGGAAACAGGAAAGTTGCATTAGGACCACATGTTCTTCATATAGGAGATTTGAAGCATTCCTTGACTGTGAGGATTTGAGCAACTCCTCAACATATTTCTTCTCAAAAGAGAAGGGAAAATATCACAAGTAGATGCAAAAAAATTCCAAATTCGGAATATGTTTACATAAATGTAACAAGTTTCTTAGTTTTCGCTTAATTGTTCATCTTAAGTAGGGAAATAGCCTATCTACCGTCCAAGGTAAGGGTAAGTTCTATGTACACACTATCCTCTCCCGTCTGCACTTGTGGGATTACGCTGGATACGTTGTTGTTGTCCATCTTAAGTAGAAGAATCAAACTCTTGAAGTGAAACAAAGTTTTTTTCTCACATATTTCTACTATATAGAAACATGAAGTGTAGGACGACCACAACATAATATTATTGTACATTGTGCAACAGAAGTTGTACTTACAATTTTTAGGTTTAGTTATTTAAAGCAAAAAGTAAGGGTATTTTTGTCTATTCAATCTGTTCTTTTGTTCTACCAGTTTCTCAATCATTCTTACTTCTTCTTCTCTCCTTAATTTCTCTGGAATTCCTCTTCTTTACTCTCTAAGACTCCAAAGACGAAATCTAAAGTCGAGCAGGTATGTGAATTTTTTCACTCTTCTTTAGAATTTCAATAATAATAAACCTTACATTTCACTAAAGTTTAGAATTAGGTTTTTAACTCTCTGTTATATTCTTCTTGAAACCTTTCGTCTTCAAATCTTCAGATATGTTCTTCTTCAAATTTTCCAACAATTTTTTTCCATGAAAAATATGAAGGTTTATGTTGTCCTCACATAACTGCGATTTTTTCTTATAGTTGATGAATTGATTTAGCAATGGTTGTAGATCTCTATTTTTTTTTCTTTTTATCAACAGTCTGCCTATTCATTAATAATAATAAAGTTCACTCGAATTGTAATTCTCAACCACATAGTGTTAATCAATAAAGACCAGTATTTTCTTTGCTCTCCTCGTCTATGCAATCATGAATGCTAATCTCATTATAATTGACACTATTGTATATACTTTGTATAAATGTTGCCATTTCTGATGATGAATACTTCTACATGAGACAAAAATAATGTACTATTTACAAGAAATGAAACTTGCAATTAGTCTTTGCAAGTAAGGTTATGTATCTGATGAAAACTTGAACACAAGGTTCAACTCTTCTATTTTACATACATATTCATGTGATGCCTTTGGAATCTTCTTTATTCAATCCATACATAAATGGACGATCAAGGATAAGTTATAATTTAACTCAAGTGCAAAAAATACATTTAACCTTTCTCCATTTAATTTCAGAAAATCCGTGCTTTCATCTCTTTCTTCCAACAACGGATAAATGTCGACTCTTTCAGTAAGGCTAGACAACTCATTGAATCATTTTATGCATTGTACTGTATCTTGATAGTTTTCCTTAAGTTTAGTTTGAGGTCTTTTCATGTCTACCTGTGTTCATCTTATATTTATTTTGGATGCACAATAAATACACACATAGCTTCACCTATATTACCTGTAAGTTGTCGATATCAAATAAACATTTTGTTTTAGTCTAGAATTCTATATTGGCCATCTCTTGGGTGATAGTCGCACTTCCAAATTATGAGAATTTTTTTGTTGAATGTTGTTAGCAGATGCTCTTATTTAATGTCTAACTACCTCTTGTCTGCATAGTTGCATCTTAAAGCATGTTTCATAAATTTTGTTTGTCAAAGTATGTTTGGATACTCACCTTGTACTGTCTCCATTCCCACCAGGCCCCGTTGTGAAGCCATTGTATCTTCAATATGCTAATTTATAGGAAGACTATGTTTTTTGAAGAGGGCTATGAGGATTTATGATCAAGTTACAAAAGTTGTTCCAGCGAGTAAGAAATTGAGTATGTACAAGATCTAAATAGCTTGTGCAGCTGAGATATTTGGTGTTCCAAGAACTTGAGAAGAACCTAGGAGAGATTGATCATGCCCGTGCACTATACAAGCACTCATCTCAATTCGCAGACCCTAGATCTAACCCTGATTTCTGGAACAAGTGGCATGAGTTTGAGGTGAAACATGCTAACAAAGATATCTTTCGCAAGATGCTCCATGTGAAGAGGAGTGTATCTGTAAGCTACATTCAGGTTAAAAAAAATAGACATCCTATTTTTCAACTTTTCCTATGTCCCACACCTGTAGGATTGTTTGCTTTGAAAAAGTTATTGTAATAATAGCCATTTACAAATATGTTTCTTAATTACATCAAATTCTTTTACTGCTTGTTTTTTTAATAAAAAAGGCTGCCAATTTATCATCAACTATAGTACAAGGGCCTATCCATTAAATTTTCTCTTGCAAAATGTATGTGCAATAGAGGAAACAAATGTATATTTTTACTTCATAACTCTCTAATATCCATGTTCGCAGTCTGCTCATTTGGATCTTTGAAGGTACTTCAAAACTCCTCTTCAAAAGATTTGGTTTGTGGAATAGCAAACATTGGCTACTGCGATGGAGGGTATATCTTCAGCTCATTTGTATTGATCAATCAAGATGTATTTGAAGATTCAAATAATCTATATTTTTTTCAGGTATTATATTTATATAGAAGACTTTTTGTTAGGTTTTTATTTGTCACGTCACAAATCAAGCCTTCCTAATGTTGTTCATACATCAATGTGAAGATTGTTGTGCGAGATGAATTTAGATGAGAGTGTAACTTACGACCATGGTCCCAACAACCTCCGAGTTGTTTGTCTCAAGCTCCATGATTTTCAAAATCATTTTCATATTACTGATTACAGTTTATAGTGCAACAATTTAGAAGGAGCTATCACAAGTGTTGGGCCCATGGTCATCTTTTATCTCAATTTTGTCCTAATCACCTTTGGGTTCTCTTCATATTTTATGCAAACAGAGGGGAACAAAAGAAGAGGAAAAAAATAAAACTTACAAGGGTCCTAATAATTCTACAAACTATTCTGGTATCCCTCTAAAACCCTTTTCTCTTTTTACACCCAAAATAAAGGATGCAATCAATCCCATCTAACCTCCTGAATGGAATTGGACCTATCTTCAAAATTTCTACTATTTCTTTCTTTTCATACTGTCCACCAAATGCAATGTGGAATTATCCTCCACCATGCCTTTTGACTCTTGCTCCCCCCTCTTCTTATCGAACAACTCAACAAATCTGCGGTATGCTCGGGCATGGTCCAGTTTGTTTTTGTGAGATTAAGGAAGATGACCCAAATTTATGTTGTAAAGTTGCAATGCAAGAATAGATGTTGGTTGGTCTCTGCTGCGTTCCCGCATAATGAACACCAAGATACTATAATCTTTCCTTTTCTCCTCAACACTTCATATGTCAGGCTAGCCCTTCTAGCAACCAACCATGAAAGCATTTTATCTTAGTTGGTGCTAAGGTTCTCCATACCTTTCTCCACAAACTCTGCTTAGAGTTGCGTTGCTGTGGACTTTCCATTTTGTATGCTCTGCTAACCGTGAAAGCCCCATCTTTACTATGTTTCCATCTCAAAGAATCAAGAGCATTGGTGATGCCAGGGAATTTTTCTAATAGCTCTTTTATTAATAATACTTTATTCATGTATTTTTCATAGAGTTTATCCATAATTTTTTTTTTATTGATATTGACTTATCAAATATATTTTTCATGTTGATATTGACTTCTCAAATATATTTTCTTTGATTCTTATGTGTTAGAAAACAAAGGAGAATCTTGTGTTGGCCTTGGGATCAGACAACTCAAATATGCATGCAAGATATTGGCTTTCAAACTTCATCTCAAGTACTATGTCCTTGGGGCATACAAAGCTAGGTAAGTTTTAGTCTATTTTATGAAGATTTGGCATCTGCAAATGCGGACACTTATCATCATTCATATGCTATTATAATAAGTTTCAAGCTTTTCCTTTTTATATTGTTGAAATTATCATGTGTATGGTTGAGGTTTTTAAAAGTTTCATAACTGAATAAACCATTTTCTAGCTATTAAAAGTAATTGATTTTCAGTTTGTTTGATCACTACTTACATGATATGTACGTATCTAATTACTTCTTGATTCCTGATGAGGGAGTTAATTATCTCCACACTTTTTCATGGAGTAACTAAACTGAAATTAAGCAATACTTTCAGCACTTCTTCATGAATTACATTGTTAAAACTTATACATCTACTATTCCTTTCTTTTTTTAGTGACAGAGGGGCTGCTTTGTTGGTGGAAGCTGCCGCAATGAAGCTCAATTTGAATTAGGTTGTCATTTAAGAGTTGAAGTGTGATTTTCTTTAAGTAATTTTCTTAAGAAGAATGGCTATTCTATACCACCTAATATTCATGCTTTAATTTGATCTTTCTTTTTCGCAGTTCTTTAGCATTTCTAGCAGTTGAGATTGGATTCTAGCAGTAGAGATTGAGCTAGGTAAGTGATCATAAATCCCCATGTGTATGATATTTTTTTCATTAGTGTTTCGTTTTTTTATTTTTTGTTGCTTGTTACTTCTGCGTAGTCTTATGTAGTTTTGGAGAACCATGATTAAAATTATGATTTATATTTTCTCTTGCATTTGTTTTTTTTTATATTTGTTGCTTGATTGACTATTGAATGGATTACTATTATGTATGCTTTTGGCTAATATGCCTTCTTTTCATTGTAGTTGTGGTCAATTTTAGAGGTAAAAGAGAAACAAGGAGGGACTTTATTCTGTACTCTGTCCGTTTATTATTTAACTCTGGAAACCAATTCAATGGTATTGAAAAAGAAGTGCTACAAAACCCTCTGTCTCAGTGGTTTAATTGTACCAGTTAGCATTATAAATCTTGAATAAAGGTATTTGTTACTGTCGATAGCTTCGTGATCAGCTGGTATTTTCTTCTTGAGTAGATCTATTTTGTTTATATAGTTGTATCGTTTGAATTCTAAAGATTCTCATCTTTGTATTTGTGTTTTCAATTCAATTACCTCTACATTTTTTATGTTCATGGCTTCACCTAGCTTGAGAAGAAGTCTTCATAGTTTCTGTTGGATATCTCTACATGGTTTGTGGCCATGAATAATCCCACAGAGCTGAAGGTTATTAATATATTTTCTGCTCGACCTTTTTCTAAAAATATCATCAAAATTTTGATGTTCATAGGACACTCAGTAATTAATAAATAGTGTCTTAAACATTTTATGATTACAGCTCTGTAGATTGGATCAAAACATGGAGAGCGAAGAGAGGAAGGAACCCTCTTTGAAGTCCTATGTATTGTTCTTCTCTTGGAGTGTCGTTCTTCGCGGACAAAATTATCTTGGGGTTATAATTCTAGGACTAATCTATGCCTGCTCCAAGGTGAGATAAAATAACACTTATAAGTTTTAGTATAAATTTATCCTGAAATGAGTTGCACCCTCAACCAAACAAAGTATAAATTTAATTCTAAACTTAATCCTAGGATATCCGACCTTATTTCATAAATCGAACGACCCCTTTGTATTTTAAAGTGGAAAGAGAATTGTTCAGTAGAATATGGTGCATTACAGATGTTGTCATGAGGGCATACTTTCTAAATTCTTAGAACTAAGTTGTTGCTAGACGATGTTGTTGGTTCCGTTTTGTTTAGCGATTGTTGCAATATGTATTGACCACATATTGAACTTATTGTAATTTACTTATCAAAGTATCGTATTTATGATAACATGTAAAGGAGCTTTCTGAAAGTTAAATGCATATAGTTGACCGGGTAAATTTATGTGATGACATTGACATCCTAAATTTTTTAGCAGCGGCTATGTGTAGAGTGTATTATATACACATTTCTTTTGCGCTGATTTTACATTTTCATCAGTGAATGTTTTACTGGTTTGCAGACCCAAATGATGCTGTGTTTTTCTCAAATACCAAGCTTGGGAGGGAATTTTGACAATGAAAGAATCGAGAATGGTATTTATACTGCTTTATTGTAACTTGGATGTTTTATTAAAAATATACATGAAACTTCGTTTTGCTATTTTTATTATTATGATTTTAAGTTCATGCTGATTTAAAAATATGTCTCTATCTCTTGCTTTAGCGTACATTGATGTGCTATGTTATCTTGCATGCATGTATGTTGTCTCTAATTTAATCAAGAGAACACAAATGATTAAAAAATAATTGTGAGGTTGCAAACAAGATCAATCTAAAGTGTACTGCATGCATTCCAAGTTGTTGGGTCGTGCTAAGCAAACAAGATCAATCTAAGGTGTACTGCCTTTCAATCATACTGCAGTTCAACTTTAGAATCCAAAATATTGTCAGTTTTGATGAACAACTTAATCTTACTTTCAAGTCAAATGCCTAATGGTAATAAATACTCTATAAGTGTCTTGTAGTATTTAATTATGAGAGAATCTGTATTATTTTGTGTTCTAGCAAAGTATTTAGTCCCTTCTCTTCCAAAGTAGGTCCTTTCATGAGTATAAAAGTGCTATGTTTATACAAAAACAAGCCGTGAAAACCCAATTGGAAAATGGAACCCCAAAAAGGTTAGTCGGCTTTCCTCAAATCCCTAGATGAAACGCCTTCACTACATCCACTTCCAATAGACCAGCTAAAATCATCATTGCATCCAAGTTCGGAGTGAATTCACTTAGCTCTCATTGACATTATAGCACTGTGTTATAGTCCTTGAGGTGAGGTAGTGCTTACACTATATCCTCTTCAAACCACATTTATGAAATTATATATATATTAGATATGTTATTGATGTTGCGTATATTACTCAAAATTAGTGAAACATGATTGGAGTGAATATTTAACCTATAAATATTGTTTTCATGTGCTAAGGTACCAATCAACCTCATATAATCCATCAGTTTGTACAAAGAATTATCAAGTTAATATTTTCAACTTGGTTGTAGATATACACCTTAAAACACTTGTGCCAAATAGAAAAGATGTCTTAAAATTCAACATGTTGGGCCCGTGTTAGCACGGGCAATACTTATCTAGTATTATATATATTTGAGATGTCATCTACATTATGGTTACCTCTTGCTACAGGAAACTAGTACTCAAATATTCTGATGAGTTTAAAAATTTAAACAAACTGGAAAATGGCAACCAAAGTACATACACAAGAACATTGTAGTGATCTTGTCACTGGAAAATGGCAAAACAAAGTACATACACAAGAACTAGATGGTTTGTTATTAATGAAGAGAACATAAATCAATAACATGATTTTTTAAAAATTGTCAAGAGATACAAATATTAACGAAATTCATGAGGAATCTTAGTAACTTATTTGGTTGGATATCTAAACTCCCAATTGTAATTCCCTCCCCCATTTTTCCTTTCGCACCCACAATTTTTGAATTTTTTTTTTAAAAATACTAACGAAATTCATCATTTTTGCATCTTCAAAAGTTATATGATACTCCTTCCGTCCCATTTTATATGAGTTAGTTTGACTTGATAATGAAATTAAGAAAGAAAGATTTTTGAAACTGTGATCTAAAATAAATGATCAATGTTTGTGTGATTATAAATTATTTCATTAGCATAAAATAGACATTTAAAAGTTAAATTGTTACTTACTATAAAAATGTGTCATTTATTTAGATGGACCAAAAAAAAAAAAATCAGTCGTATAAACTTGAACAGGGAGTAACATTTATTCATCATGTAAACAAATTTTATAAGGAGTATGTTTTTACAACTTTTATTTATTTATTACTTGATGTAATGGTACGCTAACTTGGTATTAAATAAAATGGATCAAAAGAAAAATGGAATTTATAGTTGTATAATATTGTTCCTTAAATACTTTATACTATTATTTTAAAAAGTACATGTTATAGTACATATTAATTAAACATTTTTAAAATTACGTATATGCAATAATAATCGCGTCACGTTTTGAGATATTTCTATAGCATTCTTGTAAAGCCTGAACCGGAAAATGAAGGCTCTGTTTTGGCAGTGTCTCTCCAAAGAGAAATTGTTGACGAAAACTATAAATATCACGTCTTCTTCACAGCTAAGAATTAGGGTTCATAATGTCGATACCAGTAGATCTCTTTTTCTTCTAAACCTAGACGGATTCTGAAAACTACTCATCTCAAACATTTTCTCAATTTCAAAATCCGCACAAATCACGCGCATTACGTATTTCTCCAAGCACATTTACAGATTTGGATGAATGAATTCGCATCTCCTTTGAGGTTTTCTTCTCAATTGATCGAATTTATTGTAAATTTCCGCATGCATTTCTCATTTTCTTAATATATTATTATCCGATTGTTCCTCACAGCAGTAAAGCTTTTTAGCGGGAGGTCAAAAGAGAACTGATTTGTGGTTTTGAACATGTTCATTTGATTTCTATCTCGTTGATTATTAGTCAATTTTTTGAATTTAATGTGCTTACAATCGCAGCAGAAATTCAAGGAATAATCATTAGATAGCCTTAAACTCTGAAACTGCTCATCGCATACATTTTCTGAATTTCAATCTCCTCAGAAATCACGCGCATACGGTGTTTGCATACAGAGTCCAGAGCACAATCATACAGATCTTCCCGAGGTTCTCTTTTTAATTGATTGTATATCGTAAATTTCCGATGAATTTGTCATTCTCATGTAATTTTTTTAATTTTATTTTGCAAGTACTTCATCTGTCCAACAGGAAAGTTCGAAAATTTGAAGGTAGCTGAAACTCAAAATCGAAATCGGAAGTCAGAGGATCGAACTTTAGTGTAAAGATGATTAATTAATATTCGATTAAAATTAGAGAGATTTTTGTTTTTATGCGCTTATGAATTTGTGATTGCAGAAGAATTTGAAGAACTTCATGGAGTTTTTTTACGGTAGCAGTAATGATATGCAAGCTTCCAATGTTCATTCCTTCGACGGCAATGTTTCGCCGATCAACGCTCAGAACTTCATAGGACGAGGCCGTTTCTATCCTGGATCAAAAACTCCGATCCTCGATCCTTACTCTTCTTCAGAAAGTACTGGTAGTTCTTCCAATAAAGTCTCTCCGCTAGCCCGATACCTTTGTCCAAACTCGCCGGTGCCGTTTATTAGCGATTCTCCAAAGCACCGTTCTCTGGTCAGTACTAGCAGCGGAAGCAGAAGCGGTTCCGGCGGCGGAGTTTCCCGTTCGCCTCTAGCTTCACTAGAGAACATTGAGATTCCGCTTATGTTCAGAACTCCAGTGAAGGTCGAAGAGGATGTGGTAGTCATGGACGGTATTCTGGTTGAGCCGAAACATGGTCCGAGAGCTAAATTGTTACCGTCGACATCAGATTCAGGTGGACGGTTGTCTTCATCGACACCGGCAAATGACAATAGCTTTCATAAATCGGAAACTTGTCGGTGGTGGGAGGATTCCGGCACTTGCCGCTTTGGTTCCAAATGCCGGGTCTCTTTCTTCTCTCCTTACAAAGAAATATGATCCAAATGCTTTTGGAATATTCGTGCAGTCATGTACGGTTGAGATCAACTTTCTAATTTTGCAGTGATCTCAACCACAAATTTTCTCATTAGTCAAACTTCACTAAAATCCACAACTCTAAACATTTATTATTGCTTTAATTAAACAGTTTGTACACGGGAAAGAAGATTTATGCCCAACTGCTTTCGCCAACAGAAATCAATCTGAGGTATTATTAACAATTGATCCAATTGTATTTACCGCTGATTTCTTCTTCTTTTTTTATGATGATAATGCATCCATTAAAATTCATGGTTATCACCTTCACATGGTTATGTTTGTAGGCACTGCTCTGCAGATCATACAGTTCAGGACCATCTTCTTATGGACCAAGGGGCCGATCTGTTCATCAGCAGGTCCACTCAGCCGCGTCTCCGGCAAAAGCAGCATCAATGTCCACCCGAACCACTACTACTACTACTCTTAAAGTGTTTACTAAAGACAAAGAGCCCTCAAGCAGCGACAGTAGCACCACTTCCACCCCCACCAGTACTATCTCTTCCACTGACTGGTGTCCCCTGGATGACAATATCGAGGTTACATTGCCTTCTACTGGTGAAAATTGTGTTTCCAGGGAAGATGTTAATGCTCATATACAGACTGTTCTCTATGGCACTTCTGGAAGGAAGAGATTGCCGGCATGCATTGACTTAGTTGAGTAGTAGATAGCCATATTAACAAGTCTCAGTTCAAGCCATCAATTCTCAATAAAGGTAATCAAGAGCTGTTAGTTACTTCGTTGTGTTCAAAAAGGGTTGTAGGTGCTTTTGTTGTGTTACAGATTGGACGTCCTAAAAGTACTATCATAACCAAGACAATACTCTCAAATAATATCTAGTATATGAATGGACAACTGGGCATATATCAATACAACATAGAATCACTAATAGAGTACAGAGATCTTGTTTTTGAATTGCTTTCCTGAATGTTGAGCTTTTGTATCAAAAATCGAGTTAATTAACATCACCTGCATAATTCACAGATACTCCCTGAATACTCTGAGACAGCTTAATTAAGGCGATTAAGTTCAAGATTTACAAACCAATTAAGTGGGATGTTTTGTTTTAGAAAAACAAATGAGGTTGAGTTTTTTTTTTCTTTCTAAATATCCATCTACTGAGAGAGAGGTACTAGATTTGCTTTGATCCTTGCCTTGTCAAGATTGTATTTAGGCAGTCCTCTGCAATTGTACAGTTCCTTTTGTTGTGCTAATATATTTCATTTAACATTGTAAAACAAGTGAGAGGGAGAAACTTCCTGGAAAACTTTAGGCTCCAATTGGTAATATGGAATTCAAATTGTGGCATCTTGATCATTAAGGAAGTACTAGGATTTAAAGTCATATTCAAATTGTGATATCTTGACTATTGTATTGACTTTGTGCTAGTATTTGAAGCCGGTATAAGGTTCACAACATGTAGCTTTAAATTAGTAAACTCTGTTGATAATAAAATCAATTTCTATAGGTTTAGAAGCTCAAGTGTGTAGGTTTACATAGAATTGCTGGTCGTCCTTACAGTGTTTTTAGCTATGAAACAGTCCTGAAGGTTGGCGTTTATGGGAAAAAGAGGTTCAGACTTCAGATCCCTCTTTTATTGGACAAAATATCCAAAACTAAACACACACATTTGCCTGCGTGCGTTATTACTGTAATGTAGTAGTTTATTAGCAGTAATTATTATTCTTAGTGTGATGTTTCCCAATTTCTTTTCCATGTTAGCCTTGGTTTCAGTCATCCATTTGAATCTCGCCTCTTGTGGGTAGGAAGTTTGCCATTACTATTCGAGGGGTAGGCGTGTTGGTGTTTATCATTGTACTAGCCGTATTATTCTTGCTTATATTATCTATCATCATTTGTTGTTTAATGTGTATCGATGTTCCTTTCATGTAGGCTTTGCACTATTTTCTTTGTTAGATACTATGTTTTCTACACTATTTTCTTCTTCTCTGTATTTGGATTTGCTGCTCTTGAGTTGAGGGTCTTTTAGAAAAAGCATCCTACCTCCATGAGGTAGTGGTAAAATATACGTATACGTACACTCTACTCTCCGCAGCCTTCACTTGTGGAATTTCACTGGTTATGTTGTTGTGTAGCAAGTTCACGTAACCTTTTAAGGAATATCCATAGTCATCTGTTTAAATAGCTCCTCGATAAACCTGAATCTGCTCTCTTCGTCACCAAATTGGCTGAAAAGATTTTTCTATGTTCAAGATAACTACCTCAAATTTAGATGATTCAGCAGATGCATACCATAACTTACGTTTTAGTCTAAAGATTAAGGAGTCATTGCTCTGGTTTGAGCTGAAATGCCTATTTGTTCTTTTTTCAGTTTTCATAGAAGGAGTGGGCTCATGAATAGGGAAGAGTAGATGGAAGAAGAGGGGATGGATGACCATTTTTATGGAAGCAAGCAAAGTCTCATTGGTTACAAAATTTTCATTTTGATAAAGGATATTTGGCATTATCCACCATCAATATATAAGATGTCAATCATGTTTGGCCATGGAATTCTGAAATAAAACTTCAATTTGAATTTTGGGATTTAAAAAATATCAAAAAGAGCTTTTCACTTTTTCATTTCAAATCACACCGAAATTCAAAAACAATTTCAATGTGAAAACAGCCACATAAATAGATATGTGGGCTAATGGCCAAACACTAACTCTATTTTCAAATGTCATTTTTCAGCCTGAAAACAAAATATATACTTTTTCAAATTTCACAATTTACCTAGCCAATCAGACCAAGTTCACCAGCATTCTCGTGAAAATACATATTATATCCTCATTGCATCGAAAATGATCACACACTGCACCACAACCACATAAATAGACTATTCATAAAGACGACAAAAACAATGGAAGATGATAAAGTTTCGTTTACTCATAAGAACCCCACAAAAGGGGGAATGTACCAAAAAAGTGACCAATTTTCCTTTTGTACATGCCTACGCAATTAAAAAAAAAGTTCAGGGCCAACACTCCTATCGAGTATTAGGGTCGTTTGGTTAGGAACAAGTTATCCCAGGATAAGTTATCCTGGGGTTAGCTACTTATCCTGGGGTTAGTTATCCTGGGATAACTTATCCCACCATGTATATGGGATAACTTAGCCCATCACTATGATATAAATGATGGGATAAATTATCCCAAACATGGCAACCAAACAAGATAACTTTTTTTTATCCCATCACTATTATTTTTAATCTCTCACATGGCCAAACGACCTAGTACTAGACTACTAGCATTATCAATTATACAAACTTAGGTATAATACCATTGATGCAAAAATTATGCTACAACATTCCAATGAAATACCTAATATGTAAACTAATGCCTAATCATCTTCTTGTGTATAAGCAGCCACCGCCAAAGCCTAATCTTGCCTACTGATTGGTAAATATGGCCGCCACGGCCACTGGTCAGCCTCCGCCGGAGAGAGGTATACCAGTAGCACAACCAAGTCCAACTTACGCCGTGTCCTTATGTCGACCAAAAGCTTAGCACAAACTGTTACCATTGAAACCTATATCATACCTGCATGGAGAACCACAAGTTATATGGGAGCAGGAAGAAGTGAACCAGATGATTATTAATGAAAATTTGGAGTATGTAGTAATTGGAAAATTCTTATATGGATGGCTAGAGATTCAGGTTTTGAGGAAACTTATTCCTAAACAGTGTGAACTAAAAAGAGAATGTAATATTGGGTTGTTGAGTAATAGGCACATTCTAATCAGAGCTACTTTGTTGGAAGACTATGTTCATCTTTTATCTAAGCCTGCTTTCTATATTACTCAGAAGAATTGGTCATTCCCAATGAGAACATTGAAGTGGGATCCAATGTTCAATCCTGAAGAAGAAACATCCATAGCGATTGCATGGATTTCGTTCCCAGCATTGCCTCCAAAAATTTTTTGGAAAGGAAGTTGTCTTCGCTCTTGCAGCCGCAGTGGGAAAACCTCTACAAGTCGATATGGCCACTAAAAATCAAACGAGGCCAAGTTGTGCGAGGGTTAAGGTAGAGGTGGATATGTTAAAAGAATTTCCAAAACGCATTAAAATTGGAATGAGGAGAAAGAATGAAGAAGTTGTAGAAAAGTGGATTAGAATAAAATATGACTATGTCCCAAAGTATTACAAAACGTGTATGATCCAGGGACACAATGAGCCGAAATGTTATATAGAGCATCCTGAATTATATCCTACCAAACAGAAGTATGATCAAGAAACAAAAACAAAAGAGGCAGAATATAGTCAGGAGCCAGGAAAGGCCTCATTGGTGGATAGAGGTGCACAAAATAAATGAGAAGAAGGCACAGAAATTCATGGAACAAAAAAATAAAAAAGGAGGAGGAAGAAAGAGACAACCAGAATGTGTTTGGAACAAGGCGGTCGTTATCAAGTAAAGAACCCAACTTGTAGGTTGGGGTCGATCCCACGAGAAAAATGGTTTAGATTTTAATTTAACCAACAATTATATTCGATTAGTCAAATTACTTCCAGAAACAAGTAATAAAAAGGTTTTTTTTTTGTGAAACAAATTGTAAGAATTTAATAAGTAATCAGTAATCAAAACTCAATTTTGGTTGTTATCAAGATGAGAGAAATAACTAGGGTATACGTGTTCCCCAGAAGCTCATAACGCAGTAATCCTAGTAATAGCAATCCTTTCCTAATGTACTACATGCAAAGTGATAAGTTAGATATCTCTAAATCCTTGGTCCGGCATCAAGAGAATTTCACCCCGCACCTTGGTCCGGCTATGTGTGTATAATTTACTAACCCTTACCTTTACCTCATATTAGACATCATAATCGATGTTTGGCTTAGTTATTACTTCGCACCAATCGACACTAGCCTATTAGATAGTATCACACTAAATCTATGTTGATAATTCTTTTCTTGTTGATTACCTCCTTGGTCCGGCAAGTAGCAACAAGGCGAGTTCTAACGCGTGCACTCGTTAAAAAGACTT